TTTTTTCTCTCACAGTTCTGGAGGCTAGAAGTTCAAATTCAAGGTATTGGCAGGGTTGGCTCCTAGTGGAGGCTTCTAAGGAAATGATCTGTGCTTCTCTCCTAGCTTGTGGTGGTTGTTAGCAGTCATTGGTGTCCTTTGGTTTGCAGACTCATCAATCCAATCTCTGCTTCTATCTTCACGTGACATTCTCTCCTAGGTGTGTCTTTGTTTTTTCTTCATAGTCATTGAGCAACTGCACACTTTAATCCATTACAAACTCAACTTGATTACATCTGCAAAGACCCTAATTCCAAATAAAGTCACATTCACAGGTTCTAGAGCTAGCACTTGACCTTAGATTTTTTTGGCGGGAGGACACAATGCAATCCATAACAGCATATACACTTGTTATTATTTTCATCAAACTTTCCTCTCCACCCTGTTTCCTTCTAGTAATACTCTATTTCTTTACTCCCTTTAGTAGCAAAATTTCTCTACATTGCTTATATTCAATTCACTGTTCCTACTTCCTCTCTTTTAGACATCAGTCAGATATTTACCTCGATCATTCTATTGAAATTGTTGCTGTTCTTCAGGTTACAAATGACCTACCTCCCTGTTGCCAAATCCAGTCTCAGCTGGTAGTCTTCATTTTACTTGACTCAGTATTTGACATAGTTCATCACTCAGTCCTCGGTGATATTTTCTTCTCTTTGCTTTCTAGCTATATATACCTTTTGGTTTTATCTATTGGCTCATTGGCCACTCTTCTTAAGTCCTGTTTGCTGGTCCTGATGGATTTGTTGGAATTTTTGATGTTTGCTCAGACCTGATGGTTTTGATGGAGTTTCTTTGGCAATGTAATTTATTCACAATTCTTTTGAGGGTTTTCAATTTTGTAAATGTAATAGTGGTTTCTGCATCGTTTTGCTTATGACATTAATTTTTACTTAAAGCATCATGTCACAATTGGTATGAGAAAAAAGTAAAAGGGGACAGGGCACGGTGGCTCAGGCCTGTAATCCCAACACTTTGGGAGGCCAGGGTGGGTGGATCACTTGAGGTCAGGAGTTCAAGACTAGCCTGGCCAACATGGTGAAACCCCGTTTTTACTAAAAAATTCAAAAATTAACCAGGTGTGGTGGAGGGTGATTGTAATCCCAGCTACTTCAGTAGGCTGAGGCAGGAGAATCGCTTGAACCTGGGAGCCAGAGGTTGCAGTGAGCCAAAGTTGCGCCATTACACTCTAGCCTGGGTAACGAGCAAAACTCTGTCTCAAAAAAAAAAAAGAAAAGAAAAATGTAAAAGAGAGTATTTTGCAGGGGCTTTGGTTCAAGTTCTGTAATGTATATATTTACTGTTATCATCAGTAGTTTTCAGAAGAGCATTGTGTTCTTCCTTCAAATGGATTTTTAGTGACATTGGTATCAAATTATTTTTGCTAACTCATATTTGACTGTGATTTAAAAATTATGTTTGGCAGCTATGTGTTCAATTAACTATAGTGTTTCAATGAAACACTTTTTTGTACAACAAAAAAGTGGTTGTACAATTATTGGATAAAATAGATATTTTCAGTGCTCGACAGTTTTGTTGTATTGTTCACAACCTAGTTTAAAGAATATAACAGCAAGTTGTATAAAATGTCTTAGAATTTTTATTTTTGAGAATTTTCTGTTAGTGCTTGTCAGACATATTGAAGGGCATGTATCCCTTGCCCCATGTATATCATATATTTTAAATTTTAATTTTTTATAAGTAGTCTCTTAAACATGTGTATGATCCTTTTCCAGCTGTGTGTTATCTACTTGTTAAAATCCTAATAAATGTTTACGTATTGAAATACCTGCATTTTGGAAATCTATAATTACATCAACAGTTGTTATCTGCTGTGTCCAAAATAATTGAGAAATTATTAGGTTTTAAAACTTTATTCAAAGTGATTTTATTTATAACATCTGTAAGTTTTATTATTTGTTTTAATATTTTATTCTCTAAAATAGTATGTTAATAGTATTTGGTATTGATGTTTGTGTTTTGCATAAATGTGCTAACAGGATACTATCAACTTTTGCCATGGTTTCTGGCAAATAAAAAAAATCATATTATTGGGCTCTTAATATTTATTGGATGATTTTCTGGACACTAGGTACTCCTTCTCTAAAAATTGAATCATATTTATTGTTATTAACAAGTATATAGGCCTTTATTTTCTCATTTTCAGTAGAATTGCTAATTATATTTTTTCAAATCTGATACTAGCTTTTAATATTTATCACTATTGATGTGCATTTTATTTTATTAATGTTCAGGAATATGTGATAAATGCTGCTGATGTTTTATTCATTTTTTATTCTTCAGCTGGATTATTCAATGGTTTTTATTCATTGCATTAGTTTTTATTATTCAGCAGTATTATTTTGTGATTGCTTATGTTATTTTATCTATTTTTCATTTTGTAATATTTTCACTTGAGTCTTAAAAATACCTCCATTTTATATGGCTAACATTCTTTTGCTGTGTGTTTATGTATTTTTAGTTTCTCTTTTCTAATGATTCTGCAACTAAAACATGTTTTTAAGTTTATTATTTTTATATTTATTTATTTATTTATTTGAGACAGAGTCTCACTCCATCACCCAGGCTGGAGTGCAGTGGTGCAATCTTGGCTCGCTGCAACCTCTGCCTCCTGAGTTTAAGTGATTCACCTGCCTCAGCCTCCAGAGTAGCTGGGACTACAGGTACCTACTACCATGCCTGGCTAATTTTTTGTATTTTTAATAGAAACAATGTTTCACCATGTTGGCCAGGCTGGTCTCGAACTCCTGACCACAGATAATCTGCCTGCCTCGGCCTCCCAAAGTGCTGGGATTACAGGCATAAGCCACTGCACCCAGCCTATTATTTTGATTTTTTAATGGTTGTCTTTTTCATTTGTCAAGTTGTTTTGGCCTGTGAGCTCATATACTGTTGGGGGTGTCACCTACTTCCTCTGGTAATCTATTATTAGGAAATGATCAAAAGCCAGTTCCCAGCCTGTGTGCCTCCTGGAAGTTTAGGGAAAATATGTGGGTGTATTTCCTGTGGTCTAAAGTTAGTGCTAGATATTTCCTGTGGTCTAAATGCTTGTGTCATCCCCAAATTTGTATGTTGAAATTGGGCACCAGTTCAACATATGATAGAATTAGGAAGTGGAGCCTCTGGGAAGTGATTTGTTTATGAATGCAGTACCCTCATGAATGGAACTAGTGCCCTTATGAAAGAGGTCTGAAAAACTCCCTTGCTCCTTCTACCATGTGAGGACACAGAGAGGAGGCTCCATTTATTTGGTGTCTGGGCTTTCATCAGAAACCATCTCTGCTAATGCTGTGTTGTTGGACTTTCCAGCCTCCAGAACTGTGAGAAACAAATGTTTCTTGTTTATAAGCCATACAATTTATAGTGTTTTGTTATAGCAGTTTCAACACACTAAGATGCTAGTGCTGTTGTAACAAAGTACCACAAACTGGGTGGCTTAGAACAACAGAACTTTATTTTTTCATGGTTCTGGAGGCCAGAAGACTGAAATCAAGGTTTCAGCAAAACCATGTTCCCCTCAAGGGTTCTAGGGAAGAATCTTTTGTTGGTTTTTACAAGCTTCTGGTGGATGCTAGCAATCCTTGACATTCCTTAGCTTACAGCTGCATCACTTTAATTTCTGCCTGTTGCTATGTGGTCTTCTTATAAGTGACACCAGTCATTGGATTTAGGGTCCACCTTAATTCATTGTGACCACATCTTAACTTTATCATATCTACAAAGACTCTATTTTCAAATAAGGTCACATTTGAGAGTGCTAGGGGCTTAGGACTTGAACATATCTTTTTCAGGGACACAGTTCAACACTTAACAACGGGACTAGCCTAAGTGTAGAGAGTTTCAGATAATAGAGAACCAGTGTTACATTACTCTGTCTTGATTTTGCAACTGTACTTGACAATTCCCATGGTTAGGCATATACTTTTAAGCTCTTTGGGAGGTGGCGTTGTCCTCAATCTTAATCAGGTTTGAGGGGAGATAAAAATAGAGGAATAAAAGCCCAAGACCTATCTAGTTTGTACTTTTTTATCTTAACATAGCTTTGATGCTGCCTTGATATTACCCTAATGATACCTTGGGCCAACGCTACTGCTCCTGTGGGAAGAAAGATGTATATTAAGGCCATGTATTAGCTCAAATATGGGGGAAAAAAAGGAAGAAAATACAATTTTTTTTTCCTGAATATATTCTCTCATTGTTGCTTCTGGCTTTTTCATTCCCTATATTCCCATCCTAAATGCCCCCCAAATAAATCAGACTTTGTTTAGGGGTTTCATACAGTTTAAAAAAAACTTTTTTTTGTTGTTGTTTTTTTATTGTTAGGAATATTTTCTATTTTTAATTTCTTCAGAGTTGATTTTGGGATTCACCATAGCAATTGATAATCCTTTTATCATTTTAAATCTGAATTTTTTTCATCTACAATCCCCTTTTACTTACAGGAAATGATATAAATCCTGTAGGTAAAAAACCCCAACATTTTCCATTTGGAGAACCAATGGTATAGAAAAGAAGGAAGATTTGTAGCCTATTTGACCTATGTTGTAATTCTGAAAAATTTAGCACTTATTAGCTGTATGACTCTTGGTTAGTCACTTAACTTGTCTGAACTCAGTTTACTCCCATGTAAAATGGAATGATGATGTACATAAAGCGCATACCTTAGATTAAAAATGATGGAACTTTTACTATTATTACTATACTTGGGCTTAAATAACTTTTTGATGTAAATTAGATACTGTGATAACTGCATTCTATTTCTGTTTGTTTTGTTTAAGTAACTGTGACTCAAAAGAGCCCGAAGTATAATTATAGCTTCCAGAAGTTGCTTAATGTACTGTGAGCAAATTGCTAAAGTATCAGAAAAAAAGAAATATAGTATATAAATTTAATTAGGGGCTGGTGTTTTCTCTGAATCTCTTAATGTTTTTTTTCCACAGGGAGGAATAATTTTTTTTTTCATCTATAATTTGGAAGCCAAATCAGTAACAAAATGAAACCAGTACAGCATCTGTTGACCACCAGTAACAAGTCAGCAAATGTTCCAGAATTAACTTTTAAAAAAGGACCACATCATTTACCATTGTCACCTAAACTAAGGGAAAAACATAATGCAAAATTCATTCATGATAGAATTGAACCAATGGTCCTAAGATCTCCACCAACAGCAGAATCCATTGTACGGTATGCTTTGCCCATTCCATCGAGTAAGACAAAGGACTTACTACCAGAAGAAGCAATGATCAGAAAAGTTATCAAACATCTGAAGATGGTAAGAAGCCTGTTGGTTTCTGTGTTGCAGGGTCCCTACGATCACCCCAGTCTTGGTGATATGCTAGGAGGACTCACATGACTCCACATATAGTCATACTGATGGCTAAGATTTATTACAGTAGGCACATGAGGTGAAATTGGGAGAAAACCGGATCTAAGTTTGCAAAAGTCTATTCCTTTTAGAGTCACCCAGGACATGCTTAATTTCTTTAGCAATGAATTGTGACAACACACATGAAATGTCTGCCAGGGAAATCATTAGAAACTCAGTGCCCTGGGTCTTATTGGGGGTTGTTTACCTATTCACTCTGTGCCTAGGATGTACAAAAATTTCATTCAGACTCTCACAAGGAAAGGAGGTTCAGTATAAATCACATCATACAAACATCTTAGGGGGAGTGAGCCGCTTCTGTCAGTGAATGGGGAGAATGCTCCTGAAATCCAAGCTCTCAGATGGCAGGCTAATGCCAATCTTGCAAGCAGACCTTTCTAAGTCCTACATTTCTACTATGTTAAACTCTGCATTTCAGAAACTTTATTTATTTATTTACTTATTTTTGAGACAAAGTCTTGCCCTGTCACCCAGGCTGGAGTGCAGTGGTGTGATCTCTGCTCACTGCAACTTCCTCCTGAGTTCAAGCAATTCTCCTGTCTCAGCCTCCCGAGTAGCTGGGACTACAGGTGTGTGCCACCACCCAGGTAATTTTTGTATTTTTAGTAGAGGTCGGGTTTCACCATATTGGTCAGGCTGGTCTCAAACTCTTGACCTCAGGTGATCCACCTGCCTTGGCCTCCCAAAGTGCTGGGTTTACAGGCGTGAGCCACCATGCCCAGCTGAAACTTTAGTTCTTGATGTGGGGAAAAATTTCCCTTTCTCTAAGTTTCTTTTTGGACAGTGATCCAGAATTGAGTTGTAAATGTACCAAATATCAAGTGAGAACGATGAGGAAGAACACAAATATAAAAATACTATGTCAAACTTGTACAGTCCAACTTTGTTGAAAGTTTGAGGCCAGAGAATTTTCTTTAAAAATTCATTGCTTTCTGATCTCCATCTTTTGATTTCCTCCAACTCTCTTCAGAGGAGAAAGTCAAGGCAGAGTTTGAGGAAAACTACTTAATGTGTCAACCAGTCATGGACAGGCCTTCTCTGTTTTACGATACCTATCAACACAGAAATGATACAGTCATAGAACATCTCTCCAATGCTAGGGAGTAGGGTCAAGGAATTTTGCTTTTTCCTCAACATGACATGAAATAGGGCATAGGATGGAAAATTTAAGGTTATAGCACTGGAAGAAATAAGTATTACTGTTAAAAACATCCTGGAACAGTTGATTAAATATTATTTACATTTAATATAATTAATTTTGAACTATTAAAATATCTAATGTGCTTTGATTTTTTTTTTTAACAGGTTGTTTCCACTTTGGAAGAAACCTATGGACATTGTGATGAGAATGGAGAAGAACCACTTGTAAAGCGTGAACAGGAAGAATTATCTTTATCTGTAAGTATATGCAACCCTAAGATAGATACATTAACACTGAAAATGGTCAATTTTCTTTTTAAAAATATACATTTAAAATATTTTCTTTTGGAGTCCTTATATGTTCTCAGAATGATTTTCCCATTCATGAAAAGGATCATCTTAGAAAATTACTCAACCCAATCAAATCCCTCTTGACCTGAATTTTGCCAAGAAGGTTTCAGAAAAGGAGTTCTACATACTCATTAGGAATGACCAAAATTTTGAAGATAGACAATATCAAGTTTTGGTAAAGATATGGGGCCACAGGAAGTCTCATACAGAGCTGGTGAAAACACAAATGGTACTGTTATATTGAGAAACAGTTTTACAGCTGCTCATAAAGTTTAACATATACTTAAAAGACAACCTGTTATTCAATTTTTAAGTGATTATCCAAGATTAATGAACACATATATCCTCACAAAGACTTGTATATAAATGTTTATAGAAGTTTTGTTCATAAGCCAGAATAGCTACTGAATCTGGCAGCCCAAATATTTATTAACCGGTGAATGGATAAGCAAATTGTGGTATGGCATACAATGAAATACTCTTCACAATAAAGGGAGCAAAATACTGACACACAGAATGACGTGGATGAATCTCAAAAACATTAGGATGTGGGGAAGCTAAATAAATAAGGCTACATACTGTATAATTCTGTTTATATGAAATTCTGGGAAAGGGAAAACTGTAGTAAAGGACAAGTGGTTGTCTTGAGCTAAGGTAGGAGGAGAGAATTGACTGCAAAAGAGTTCAGTGAAGCTTTTTGGAATAATGAAAATTATATTTTTATTGTGGTGATGATTACCCAACTGTTAAAAGGATTGTGTAACCACAATCCTTATACTGCATGACCTTGGGGTTCTTATGTTTTGTGGCCCTGCCAGGATTGAATCAAAATGTGAACCAAAACTAAAATCTAAAATTGAAATCCAATAAAGATGACAACGATAGAAACTGGGGATGACTAGAGGTAGGAGGGAAACTGGGTAAGGGTTAAAAAACTAGCCATTGGGTACCATGCTCAATACTTGGGTGACAGGATCATTGGTACCCCAAACCTAGCATCATGCAATATATCCAGGTAACAAACCTGCACATGAACCAGCTAAATCAAAATAAAAGTTGAAAAAAAACCCAAAAAATAAAATGAAATGGAAGTTCATATTCTTCCTGTAGTCTTTACCATAACTTTTTCATAATTTGTATTTCAGTTATCCTAATCTCTGGCCACCACCTCCTGTCTTTCCCACTCTGTCTGTCCAATATTCTGACTCTAAAAATCCTTTGATTTCACAAGGAACCATAATCCATTGGTCCTGCTGCCTTTTTAGTGTCCCAAGTCTTCCTGTGCCCTTACTTACCCAGCTTAAATAGCATGGTCCACTATTACTATCAGTTCCTTTCATATGTACTTAACTGTCTTGCCCAGTTCTATTTTATTGATCTTATTTGGTTAAATTATAAACCTGGTCAAATCAATCTTACCTTCTCTATATTTCTCTATCTTGTCTATATTTCTGGCACCTAAATGTGGGTGGAAGAAGATCCTCAAGAGGGCTAATGGTTTCTCTTTATGTTTGTGATTAGTAACACTAATCTCTTTGTTTTCCTACTCTGCTGGATGGATTATTTTAGTTTTTTTCCTCCTCTCCTATAAAATAATAGGTCTTTACTGTGACAAAAAAAGTATGTGAGCCTCTAAGTATATTTATTTATTTAATTTTTTTTTTTTGAGACAGAATCTCTGTCATCTATGCTGGAGTGCAGTGGTGCAATCTTGGCTCAATGCAACTGCTGCCTCCTGGATTCAAGCTACTTTTGTGCCTCAGTCACCCAAGTAACTGGGATTATCAGCATGTGCCACCATGCCCAGTTGTTGTTTTTTTTTTTTTTTGGTATTTTTAGTAGAGATGGGGCTTTGCCATGTTGGCCAGGTCTTGATCTCCTGACCTCAAGTGATCCACCTGCCTCAGTCTCCCAAAGTGCTGGGATTACAGTTGTAAGCCACTGAGCTCAGCTCAGTATCTTTAAATGTAATCCTCAGGGAACATATTCTTCATGGAGAACCACTCTATGAAAATCCTAACTGTATATAAGCCTGTAATATTTGTTTATCATAAGTCAGTTCTCTGATTTATAAATCACTGCTTTACTAGAAAGGATTTAATCATTATGACATTTAAGTTGTAACTATTTTTTTTTGTCAAAGTTTTGTATTGCCCATTAGTGAGAGCAAAAGACTGCAGTTCATGGCAAGTATACAGTCAGATGTCATAGCTAGTAGCCTTTTTCTAATGTCAAGAGTTTTTTTTTTGTGGTAGTGATTATCTTTTACTGGGCCACCCAAAAATTTCAGGACCGTAAGGCTGGGATGCTGGATTTTCTAGAACTGTGTAGAGAAGAAAGAGAGGAGAGATATGGCTGGGTATATGTCATTGACGGGCCACTTCTCAGTGGGTATTTTCTTCTATGTTTTCTCTCTGGGAGAATTTGCTAGTATGGCATTTGAAGCATGGCTTCTTGCCTTGTGTGTTTGAAGGGACATAAATTACACAAAATTAAAATATTTTCAAAAAACATACTAGAAAAAGATAGACATGCATATGGATTCTGAAGTGAAAGTAACTTTATATTTTATTATTCTTTTCAAAAGGCTGGGGATGATATGAATTCATTCTTGACGTGTTGTTCACAATTTGCAGCTCAGCTAGAAGAAACACTTAAGGAAGAACAAAATGTATGTATTTTGTATATATTGTCAAGTATAAAATATCAAACTTGTACTGGTTGTTGAAAATTGAATCTGCTATCCAGTTAGCCAACATTAACCTAGATTCAGTGTCTTAAAGAGTTATAAATGGCATTGGAAAGCATTATTTATTTATTTTGTATTCTTTTTGTAATCATCATCAAGGGTTTTTACTATGCCCAAATACAAAGATTATGCCACTGACCCACCACAAATAAGACAAGAAATTTTAATTAATTATTCAATAGTTGTGTGAATTTTAATGAATCTGCCATATTTCCTCACTAAGAGCTTGTAAGTAGTTACAAGATAGTTAATAAATATTAAGGTTGTGGCAATCAGCATCAAAGAGACAATGATTGGCCATTCCAGAGAATGACCACACAATCATGGTTTAATATCATAACCCTTATCAATTAGCTGTCAGTGAAAGGTAAGAATACAGTGGAATTGTTGAAATTGTCTTTTTTTCATGTAAAGAATACACTTAATTTCTTTCTTTTTTTGGCAATAGGTATTTAAATTGACATGTAATTATACATATTTATGGGGTACATAGTGATATTTTGTTACATACAATGTCTAGTGGTCAAATCAGAGTAATTAGCATATTCATCACCTCAAGCACTTATCATTTCTTTGTGATGGGAACATTCAAAATCCTCTCTTCTAGCTGTTTGAATGTATATAATAAACTCATTAGCTGTGGTTACCCTATAGTACTGTAGAACACTATAACTTATTCCTCCTATCTAGCTGTAATATTTTTTCCTTTAACCAACCTCTCCCTATCCTCCCTCACCCCTATCCTTTCCAACCTCTAGTAATCATGATTCTACTCTCTGCTTCTATGAAATGAGCTTGTTTTAGCTTTTGCATATGGGTGAAAACATGCAATATTTATCTTTCTGTTCCTGACTTATTTCTCTTAATATAATATCCTATAGGCCCATCCATGTTACTGTGAATGACAGGATTTAATTCTTGAGTGGAATCTGGCTGGGCACAGTGGCTCACGCCTGTAATCCCAGCACTTTGGGAGGCCGAGACAGGTGGATCACAAGGTCAGGAGTTCAAGACCAGCCTGGCCAACATGGTGAAAACCTGCCTGTACTAAACATACTAAAAAAAATTAGCTGGGCATGGTGGCATGTGCCTGTAATCCCAGCTAATTGGGAGGCTGAGGCAGGAGAATTGCTTGAACCTGGGAGGTGGAGGATGCAGTGAGCTGAGTTCACACCATTGCACTCCAACCTGGGTGACAGGGTGAGACTCCATCTCAATAAAAAGAAAAGAGTTGAATCTTGTTTGGAATTAAAAGTGGCTGAATGGTAGTCCATTCTTCCTATGTGCCCCATTTTCTTTATTCATTTGTCTATTAGTAGCCATTTAGATTTTTCTATATCTTGGCTATTACAATTTAGTACTGCAATAAACATGGAAGTACAGATGTCTCTTCAGTATATTGATTTCCATTTCTGTGGATATACACCCAATAGTGAAATTGCTGGATTATATGGTAGTTCTATTTGTAGTTTTTTGAGGAAACTCTATGCTGTTTTTCATTATGGTTTTACTAGTTTACATTTCCACCATAAGTATATATCAGTTCCCTTTTCTCTGCATTCTTGTTGGGATTTATTATTTTTTGTCTTTTTTATAATAGCCATTTTAACTGAGGTGAGATGATATCTCATTGTGGTTTTGATTTATATTTCCCTGATGACTAGTGATGATGAGGATTTTTTTTTTTCATATACTTCTTGGCCATTTGTATATCTTTCTTTTGAGAAATATTCAAGCCATTTCCCTATTTTAAAATCAGATTATTTTTTTTTTGCCATTGAGTTGTTTGAGTTCTTTGTGTATTTTGAAAATTAATCACTTGTTAGGTGATTTTTTTTTTACAAATATCTTTTCCCATTCTGCAGATTTTTTCACTCTGTTGATTGTTTCCTTTGCTGTGCGGAAGCTTTTTAGTTTGATATAATACCACTTGTCTGTTTTTGCTTGTGTTGCTTATGCTTTTGAGGTCTTATCCATAAAATATTTTCTCAGACCAATGTCCTGAAGTGTTTCCTCTATGTTTCCTTCCAGTAGTTTCATAGTTTTGGGTTTTATATTTATGTCTTTAAGCCATTTTTGAGTTGATTTTGCATATGGTAAGATATTCGGTCTAGTTTCATTTTTCTGCCAATGGATATCCAGTTTTCCCAGCACCATTTATTGAAGCGACTGTCCTTTTCCCAGTGTTCTCAGTGCTTTTGTTGAAAATTTGTTGGCTATAAATAAGTGGATTTATTTTGGGTTCTCCATTGAGTTCCATTGATCTGTGTGTCTGTTTTTGTGCCAGTACCATGCTGTTGTGGCTGCTATAGCTTTGAAGAGAGAGAGAGAGAGAGAGAGAGAGAGTGTGTGTGTGTGTGTGTGTGTGTGCACGCGTGCGCACACGAGCGCTTTTTTTAAGAGACAAGGTCTCACTTTGTTGCCCAAGCTGGAGCGCAGTGTTGCAATCATAGCTCACTGCATCCTTAAACTCCTGGGCTTGAGAGATTCTCTTGCCTCACCTTCCCAAGCTGCTGGGATTACAGGGATAAGCCACCATGCCTGGATAACCTTGTGGTATATTTTGAAGTCAGATAGTATGATGCTTCCAGCTTTCTTTTTTTGCTCAGGATTGCTTTGTCTACTCAGGGTATTTTGTGGTTCCACATGAATTTTTGGGATTTGTTTTCTGTAAACAATGTCATGGTATTAATAATTAATATTATTAAAATGACCATACTACTCAAAGCTATATGCAGATTCAGTGAAATTCCTGTCAAAATGATACTAGGCTTAAGCCAACATTAATTCTTCTAATATATGAACATAGGATGTCTTTTATTTTTTCTGTGTCTTCTTTAATTTCTTTCATCCGTATTTTATAGTTTTCATTGTAGAGACCTTTCACCTCCTTACCTCCTTTGTTAAATTTCTTTGGAGGTATCTTGTATATTATTTTGTATCTATTGTAAATGAAATTGCTTTCTTGATTTCTTTTTTCAGCTAGTTTTTTATTGGTATATAAACATGCTACTGATTTTATATGTTAATTTTGTATTTTGCAGCTTTTCTGAATTTATTCATTAGTTCTAAGAAGTTTTCGGGTGGATTCTTCTATGTATATACTTTTTCTATGTATATGATTATATTGTCTGCAAACAGGGACGCTTTTCAGGCCCTCCACTTAGTTGCTTTTCTGGGAGAGTTCTGGGTTAGGTGAAGCAGTGGCAAAAGTGGGAACCTCTAGAGAGCTCAAAACAGTACACAATTTTTTGGGAATATGTCTGCAATGCTCTCTCCAGAACCACTCAAAATGAGGGTTGCTGGTTTTAAGACTGCTGCTATGCTGGAGGAAGGGATGAGGCAAGACCAAGTTAAAGTACCACACAGTTCTCCTGTGGTGTTCAAGCCACATTTTCTTGATGTGGCGTTACTTGGTTGCTTTAAATCTTTAACTCTTTTCAGAGTTTTAACAAAATTGGAGTGTAGGCCCTTGGACTTCCCTACTACACATTTTTTTGCTGTTATCACTCTTCAAATACCCTAATAGTTTTTTTCCTTGGTGCAAATTTACAACTGACTTTGAATTATATGTATATATTTCAGTAGACCAAGAATAACCAAGTGAGTCCTGAAGAAAATATCAAATGACCTATCCTAACAGATATCAAGATTCATTATGCAGCTATATCAATTATCATTATTTGCTTTTGGTGCAAGCCTGGATGAACTGATGAAATTGAACAAAGTCTCAGATGTAGACCTTTTTATATATGGAAAATTTTGTTGATGACAGAGTCAGCAGGATAATAAATGGCTTTGGGACAACTGGTTGTTTGTAAGGAAAAAAACTGATTTGATATATGATCAAATATGATACTGATATTGATATCAGTATACTACCTGGAGCAAGAAACAATCACAAATACAAATCATAAAAGGCAAGATTGAAAAATTCACCTATTTTAAATTTATAAGCTCTATTATATAAAGAATTCATAAAGAGAGGGGCAAGATAAATTTCAAATAGGGAAAAAATTCGGATCATGTATAACTAACCTATATGTGTATTTAATCACATAAAGGATTATCTAGAGTATATAGATAATGTCTACTAATCAATAAGTAAAAGATTAAACAAATTATTATAAAATAAAAAGGCATTTCACAGTGGATCAGTTTTTATTTTTCACTCATTTTTATCAACGATTTAGATTTAGCAGTATCAGTAAGTCATGCTGTGGGTTTCCTCAGTACTTGAGAAAGGCACTGTTTTCCTAGTTTATAGTGGTTTAAATTATTGTAGAACTGTGGCTACAGTGAGTGGTTGAATTGATATGTGCTAACGTTTCCCATCAGGTTACAATGCAGAAAGGGACATTTTAAGAACCTTGGAATCTCTCTAGAAAATGGAAAGAATGAGTTATTCCTAGGTATAATATGCCTTATTGGACATTATTTTCTAAACACTTATGTAGCTGAAACTATTTTTCTTTTGACACAGACATTAATTTGCTTTGGTATATTTTCTGAAGGGTCTCAGCCCTTTTTGCTTAGATTTATGCTTTCTTATTATTTAGCTTAGTGATTCTCAGACTTTATCATGCAAAGCAATCACCTGCAGGTCTAGTTAAAACACAAATTGTTAGTCCCACATCTAGAATTTCTGATTTAGTAGGGTAGGGTAGGCCTGAGAATTTTTAATACTAATGAATATGCTTGTAGGTGGTGCTGATGCTGTTGCTATGGTACCTTACTTTTTGAACCGCAGATCTAGAGTTAGTGTTGTGGAAGATAAATTTTAGACTCGTTTAATTTTTGTTCAATTTTATGTTACTCCCTGAATGCATATAGTAACATTTTACTTTAATAATGTAATTGAAAACTTTTACTCAATTAGATAGGGTGGGTTTTTTGTTAATCATTTTAACGTTAGATATTAAGTGGTAAATATTGATATTTTGAACTGTGTATGGATGCTTCTCAACTTATGAGGGAGTTACATACTGATAAACCCATCATAAGTTGAATTTATTATATGGTGAAAATGCATTTAATACACTTGACCTACAAATATCATAACTTAGCCTACCTTACCTTAAATGTTGAGAACACTGGACATTAGCCTGCAGTTGGGCAAAACCATCTAACACAAAGCCTATTTTATAAGGAAGTGTTGAATATCTCATAAAATTTACTTAATACTGTACTAAAATTGAAAAACAGAATGATTATATGTGTATATGAAGTTCAGTTTCTGTTGGTTTTTTATTTTGTTGGTTTATTTATTCAGTTTCTCTTATAATCTCGTAAACAAGTACTTTGCATTTCCCATTAAAAATGTTAAATAGTATAATAATATTTTGTATCTTGATTTTATAGCCTATTTAGCAGGAACAGAGTTGCATTGAGAAGATAGTATTGGGAAAGCAATGCTTTTTGTTATTGTACTTGGTGCCATATGAAAAGAAATATAATGCTCTTCTGAGAGGAATTTAAATTTTATTCCTTACCTATATTAAGAAAATATATTAAATAAATTTGGGAATTGTTTGGGGGGTCTCCTAATATAGATGTATTAGGGCCAGGTATGATAGCTTGTTCCTGTATTCCCAGCACTTTGGGAGGCTGAGATGGAAGGATCGCTTGTGGCCAGGAGTTTGAGACCAGCCTGAGCAACATGGCCGAATTCTGTCTCTATTAAATACAAAATTAAAAATTAGCCGGGCATGGTGGTATGCCCCTACAGTCCTACCTACTCAGGAGTCTGAGGCAAGAGTATCACTTGAGCCCAGGAGTTCAACATTACAGTGAGCTACGAGTGCGCCACTGCACTCAAGCCTGGTGACAGTGAGATTCTGTCTCTCTATCCCTCTTTCTTCCTTTTTATATATAAAAAGAATTATTTTAAAAGTCTAGAACAAAGTTGTCTATACAAGGTGAACTAAAAGCACTGTCTGTAAATAAAAAATTATAATTTTCAACTACAGACTTATAAAGTTATATTTTAATACTTAGTACATTTTTGTGATTGAAAATTGCAAAAGACAACTAAATATTGTATCATACATTGTGAAGAATTCTATTTTTAAATATGTTAATTGAAACTTTATTTTTCAGATTTTGGAATCTCTTTTTAAGGTACGTTTAATATATTACAGCTTAAATCTACTAAAACTGAACACAGAAATACATGCCAATGAGATTTCTAAATTTTAAGGGAGTAGAAGAAATTTCATACTTGCTTCTCTATATATTTAAGAATTTTATGTTCATTTGTATAGTGAATTAGCCTCATTCTGAATCCCAAGTGATATTTGGGTCAGGGCTGATATTTGATAGATGAAGATTCACAGACACAGACACAGACACACATTTATATACATATTTATTTCATTGTTGCAATTTAAATTGTCACTAACTATTTCCTTTTTGTTCCTCTTTTGTTTTCTTAAAGTGGTTTCAGTTGCAGGTCAATCAGATGGAAGAAGTAAGTCTAATGTTTTAAAATTGTTAATTAATATTTTAAACTCATTTGAAAACCAATTTAGATTACATATATGTATAAGTCATTTTTTAATAACTATTGGTTATACAGTAATCTTTTTTCATTTGTGTAGACAAGGAATAAGAGAATGGGATAAAATATTTCTCAGTGACTTACACCCTATGTCCCTGTATATATCTGGTATACTCCAAGTTTGACTGACACATTCATTTTCTTAAAATTAAATAATGGAAACGAAGTTATTATTTTTTCCAATTTACATAAAGGAGTGATGAGAGAATCTTTCACTTAAAAATTTCTACCATATTTAAAAAATCATTCTAAATGATTTATGTGTAGACATAAAATTATGTATTGATTTTCTATACATGAAATATGTTATTTTAATGATGTTCTTTTATACTTTTGATTTTCAGGTACTTTGCCATTAGTTTGAGAACTACTGGTCTCTGTCCTTAGGGGTTATTAATTCTACTTTGGAAAATACGTTATATATGCTATTAGTATAGTAGAATTATTTCCAGGGTAGCTTTATTGATTTACAGAGTTATTTTAGTTCTCATTTGGTCACACTTACGGTTCAGTCCAATTAAACACTCTTGAAGCCCAGGTTCTTCAAAGAAAAGAGACCAGTTTATTTGGGGGTATAAAATGAAAGGATAAATATAGATAGAACCTTAAATGCATGAACTGTAACTATATCCTAGCATCTTCTCATTATTTTATCTCTGATCCCAGAATAGAAGACTTTCATGGTCTATATGCTCTTTGCTTTAGGATACATTTGACTGACATTGGAAAAGTGTTAGTCATTCTTTGATTATGGTGTAGTGGTCATTATCCTTCCAGAGAAGTAGGGTTAGAGTGAAGTCTACTATTCCTCTACCCTCTTTTAAAATGTATTCTTCTTTGCAACTTTGGAAATTCATCTAGTCATCTTCTTTTCATCCATCAACCTCTTTTTATAGTTTTATTTATGTATTTTTATTATTTTACTTTTTGAGATGGAGTTTTGCTCTTTTTGCCCAGACTGGAATGTGATGGCATGATCTCAGCTCACTGCAATCTCCATCTCCCAGGTTCAAGCGATTTCTTGCCTCAGCCTCCTGAGTAGCTGGGACCACAAGCACATGCTACCATGCCTGGTTAATTTTTTTTGTATTTTTAGTAAAGATGCGGTTTCACTATGTTGGCCAGGCTGGTACTGAACTCCTGACTTCGTGATATGCCCACCTCAGCCTCCCAGAGTGCTGGGACTACAATTCATCTTGTCATCTTCTTTTCATCCATCAACTTCTTTTTATTGTTTTATTAATGGGTTTACTTTTACTCTTCTTTTTATACTTATTCCTGTCAATGTGCATGACCTACCCAAACCCTGGCCTCTCAGTTTCTTGACTTCCTCATCTGCAAAGATCTCTTGGCCTCCATTTCCAGTCACACTCTGGACCTTGTCATTAACCAAATTATTTTAAAAATTACTAATTTAGGCAACTTATTCTTGAACTTTAAATTTCTATTTTTCCAATTATCACTTTAAACACTGCTCTGACCACTCTTTGTCTTCATCAAGACCTCCAGTTCATTTATTCCTCTAACATCTTGCAGTCTTTTTAATTAATTTTTCTCTTTAGCTTAGAGACAGCAATTTATCACAAGTGAATTTCTTAACTTCCTAATCTTCCTTACTTCTTTCTCTTTTCATTGCACTTCTCTAACAAAACCTAACCCTGGGCCTATATCTTAGCTATGAAACACTGCTAGAGAAAATGACGTAGTAGGTCAGACATAAGTACTCCAAATACTGCTTGGCAAATATATTACACTTCTGAAATGAATTTCAACCCTTTCCTGCTACCATCTCAAACCTACTTCCTCTGTCCCATTTCATCTTCACTTTCAACCAAATACTTGGAATGCTATAAATACGAGCCATTGATTGGAGCTCCTGGACTCAAGCAACCCCCTCGCCTCTGCCTCCCAAAGTGCTGGGATGACAGGCATGAGCCACTATGCCCCGCCATGCCTTCTCAAAAACTTTGATTAATCAGTTATTCTCTCTTGTATTATTCAATTTCTCTCATTCAGTTGTATCCTTCCTTTCGGTTTTTAAATATGCTCCTCTATTTCTCATTTGATCCACATTCCTCTTTAGTTAAAGGCCTATTTCCATGCCCTTCATTAGCCTGTTTTTTAAAAAAATATTTTATATACAAATTTACTCATATTAGGGAAACAGTCATTAGATGATTATCAGGGTGTAAAGGCAAAACAGATTTTTAAGTGAGCGGAAAAAAAAAACAAACCCAAAAACCCAGAGTAGACAGTCTTTGAACAATGAAACTAGTTGGCTCTTTCTTTCTTTCTTTTTTTTTTTTTAAGTATTCTATGAATAAACTGGTACCTAGTGAAGAGATTAATCTAGACACGCTTTCCTTAAGAGACAACTAAGGGTATTAAATAAAACAATTAGAGTTGTTAATGAATTTCCTATAAAAACCCTTCAGAGTTTAGCTATGGAGCATGTGTCATACTTTCAGAGCCACATTTTTTTGTATATAAATTTGCTATACACTATGTTCTTACTTCTCAAGCATTTCTCAACCTATCCAGACTGAATTCTGTCTCCCTAACAAGTAAAGCATTCTCTCCATATGGTTCCTAGTAAGTTGTATGTTGTTAAATTCAATAGACTTTTTTTTGCTTCAGCTATAGTTAATATTATTGATCATGCCCTCATTTTTGAAACATTATTCCTTTGGCTTCTGTGAATTACATTTTCCTGGCTATCATTTAACCTCTTTGTCTGTCTCCTTTTTAGAGTCCCCTTCTTAACCCAAGCAGTAAATGTTGGAGTACCTCAAAGTTTTATCCTATGTCTTTTTTCTTTTTCCTCCAAACTTTCTCCCTAGGCAGTCTCGTCCGGTTTTCCCATTCAAGTATTACCTTTCTGCATGTAATTCAGAAACATATACCTCTTGCTCAGAATGTTTCCCTGGACTACAGGCTTTGTATATAATTACTTACTAAACTATTCCACCTCAGATGCAATGGGTCAGAAATACAAATTTTTTACTCCTAAACTCATATATCTTCTAGTGTTCCCTATCTTAGTGAATGAGTGCTATTTATCAAATTAGGTAAACATGAAATGTGGAAACCATTCCTGACAACTCATTTCCATCTATTCCTGATATTTAATTCATCCACAAGTCCTCTGGATTTTACTTTCTAAAAAACTGTCAGATTTGTCCACTTTTCTCTGTGATACCTTATTGTTGGTTATTATCATATCCATTATGCCTGAAATCCCAACTGGTGCATTCATAATCACCAGGAGGAATCCTCACTATACAACTATAATTCTTATCTGGAATTTCAATTTTTCAATGTTTTACCCATAGTTACTTCTCTCAAATATTTTGTTAATTTGGTATTCCAGATACATTTTCTAAAGGTTTGTATTATCTGCTGTCTTTGAAGGAGGGTTTCTCTTTTTTTGTAAACTTTTATTTTAAGTTCAGGGATACATGTGCAGGTTTGTTATTTAGGTAAACTCATGGTACAGGTATTTGTTGTACAGATTCTTTCATCACCCACGTATTAAGCCCAGTATCCAATAGTTACCTTTTCTGCTCGTCTCCTTCCTCCCAACCTCCACCCTCAAGTAGATCCCAGTGTCTATCATTCCCTTCTTTATGTTCATGAGTTCTCATCATTTAGCTCTCACTTATAAGTGACAGCATGCGGTATTTGATTTTATGTTCCTGTGCTAGCTTGTTAAGGATAATGGCCTCCAGCTCCATCCATGTTCCTGCAAAAGACATGATCTCACTCTTTTATAGGGCTGCATAGTATTCTATTGTATTTATGTACCACAGTTTCTTTATCCAGTCAACCACTGATGGACATTTAGGTCGATTCTATGTCTTTGCTATTATGAATAGTGTTGCAGTGAACATACACATGCATGTGTCTTTGTGATAGGATGATTTATTTTCCCTCGGGTATATACCCAGTAATGGGATTGCTGGGTCAAATGGTAGTTTTGTTTTTAGGTATTTGAGGAACGACCACACTGTTTTCTACAACAGTTGAACTAATTTATACTCCCGCCAACAGTGTATGCATTTTTTTTCTCCACAACCTTTCCAGCACCTGTTATTTTTTTACTTTTTAACAATAGCCATTCTGACTGGTGTGAGATGGTATCTCATTGTGGTTTGATTTACATTTCTCTAATGATCAGTGATGTTGAAGTTTTTTTCATATGATTGTTGGCCTCATGTATGTCTTCTTTTGAAAAGTGTCTCTTCACGTCCTTTGTCCACTTTTTAATGGTGTCGTTTGTTTGTGTCTTGTAAATTTGCTTAAGTTTCTGATAGATGTTGGTTATTAGGACTTTGTCAGATGAATAGTTTGCAAATGTTTTCTCCCAGTCTCTAGGTTGCCTATTTATTCTGTTGATAGTTTCTTTTGCTGCACAGAAGCTCTTAAGTTTAATTAGATCCTATTTGTTAATTTTTGCTTTTGTTGCAATTGCTTTTGGCATCTTCATGGAGTCTTTGTCTATTCCTGTGTCCATAATGATATTGCCTAGGTTGTCTTCCAGAATTTTTATAGTTTTGGGTTTTACATTTAAGGCTTTTGTTCATCTTGAGTTAATTTTTACATATGGTTGTAAGGAATGAGTCCAGTTTAAATCTTCTGCATTTGGTTAACTGGTTATCCAAATAAATGAGGCATTTATTGAACAAGGAGTCCTTTCTTCATTGCTTTCTTTTGTCAGATTTGTTGAAGATCAGATAGTTGTATGTATGCAGCCTTATTTGGCTTCTGTATTCTGTTCCATTGCTCTATGTGTCTGATGCCCCCAGATTTGTTCTTTTTGTTTTGGATTGCTTTGGCTCTTTGGGCTCTTTTTTAGTTCCATATGAATTTTAAAATATGTATGTATATTTTTTCTAGTTCTGTGAAGAATTTTATTGATAGTTTGATAGAAATATCATTGGATCTATAAATTGCTTTGGGCCGTATGGCCATTTTAATCTTATTGCTTCTTTCTATCCATGTACATGGAATTTTTTTTATTTGTTTGCGTCATTTCTGATTTCTTTGAGCAGTGTTTTGTAGTTCTCCTTGTAGAGATAGTTTACCTCCCTGGTTAGCTGTATTCCTAGGTATTCTTTTTGTGGCAGTTGTGAATGGGATTGCTTTCCTGATTTGGCTCTTGGCTTGACTGTTGTTGAGGTATAGGAATGCTAGTGATTTTCCTACATTAACTTTGTATCTTGAGACTTTGCTGATGCTGTTTATCAGCTGAGGGAGATTTTGAGCCAAGACTTTGGGGTTTTCTAGATATAGGATCATGTTGTCTATAAATGGAGGTAGTTTGCCTACCACTCTTCCTATTTGGATGCCCTTTATTTCTTTCTCTTGTCTGATTACTCTGACTAGGACTTCCAATACTATGTTGAATAGGAGTGGTGGGAAAGGGTACCTTAAGAAATGTGTCTTAAAGTGTAGTTGATAGAACATGTTTAATTGTCACCCAAGATACCTGTTATAAGTGCACATTATTGAATTAGATTTCTTTTGTGAGTCTGTGAGTTAGGAATCTACTGTTTCAACAGGCGAGGAACAAGGGATTCTTATGTACACTAACATTTGAGATTCTTGTGATAACCTTTTTACTGCTGACAGAATTTATTGTCAGTACATGCTGTTGAAGTTAATGCCAGTGATCATGTTGCATTGCATGTTGTATTAACAGAGATACATGTGGAAATCATTAGAGTATATGGTGAGCTGCACCAGAGAAATGTAGGCTGAGCCTGCACCCTGTACTCTTCAGAGTTGTCCTGCTGGAATCTGTGGCCCGTAGGTCTTTCTGATGAAATTGTTTAGCTGATAACCCACTGTCTATTCCATACTCTTTTAGTTCTGTGCCTTCATCTTTTTTCCTAGAAAAGTCTTCTGTTAAAATTTAATCTCTATTGGGAAAGTAATGTATCAAGAGTCTAATCAAGAGACAAAAACCACACAGTAATTTGATTCGGGAAACTTTAATATAAAGAATTATTATAACAGAGGAATATCTACTAAAGAGTATTGATAGATGTTCTACTAAAGGAGGAAAGATAATTCTAATCAATACAGGAGTAGTAGATATAGGGAAGAGCTTCGACTCCTAGGATAGACTCAGAATGTGAATATCCCCAATCCTTCTCTCCCAGCAACCCAGGGCTAAGATGCAGAACTCCTGAAGAGGGAGCAGTTTTCATCACTACATAGCAGAGAAATTTGCTGGGCTACAAAGCTGGTGGAACTTGAACTCTAATAGGAAGCTGTCCATGAGGGTGGTACACTTAGGAATATGCCCTCTCTGATGCTAGGAAAAGCCACCTTCCAGAGAGGTGCTGTACTTCCTTCTGGGAAGCTGTTCACAAGGGTGATATGTTGGAAAACTTCTCTAAGGGAAGCTCTGTACTGGTGGATTGTGTTAGGAAATTCTGGGAGAAGCTGCCCATAGGAATCTGCGATGCCAGGGACGTTACCAGGAAGTCGTCCATAAGGATGATGTTGTTGAAATTTTCTGCAGGTAAGTACTATAAAATACACACTGCCTGAGGAATAAGCAGAAAGAGACACAGAACTAGGAAGAAAAGCCTCCTGCTCTTCCATTGCCTCTCCAGGAAAGGTTAACATCAGGCCACTTGTCAAGGAAGAAATATTCTACTATCACAGACAAGACAATAAAGAATAGATTTTTATTGTTCAACACCCACCTATGAGTGAGAACATGCGGTGTTTGATCTTCTATTCTTCTGTCAGTTTGCTGAGAATTATGGTTTCCAGGTTCATCCATGTCCCTACAAAGGACACAAACTCATCATTTTTGATGGCTGCATAATATTCCATGCTGTATATGTGCCACATTTTCCCTGGACACATGGAGGGGAGTACTACACACTGGGGTCAGTTGGGGAGAAATAGGGGAGGGACGGTGGGGGGTGGGGAGTTGGGGAGAGAGAGCAAGGGGAGAGATGCCAGATGTAGGTGATGGGGAGGAAGGCAGCAAATCACACTGCCACGTGTGTACCTATGCAACAATCTTGCATGTTCTTCACATGTACCCCAAAACCTAAAATGCAATAAAGTAAATAAATGGGAAAAAAAAGAATAGAGTTTTGAGATGAGACTCAGTAAATTGATGACATCATTTTTGACTCAATTTATGATTTGTGGCTCCTTATTTGGGATCTTTCTTTTGTCTATAGAGTTTCCATAGATCTCCTCCCACCAATTCTGTGTTCCTTTTCATATCTTCCCTACACTCAAGCTCATACTTGTGGTTCATTGCCCAGCATTTACTTCCTATTGTTATATCCTAATCTCATTCCAGTCATTACAAAAATGAAGTCTCTGTTCTTAATCCTTAATGCTACAATTTATCTTTGCCAAGTCCTAGACTTCATTTCCCCCCCAACTTTTCCTCCTATCATAAGGATTGAAGGTGACTACATGGGCAGATCTCTGAATTTAGGGGAAGAAATTATTTTAGCATTACTCTTGTAAATATTCTCTGCCATTTTTCTCTCAAAACTTTCTAGATATAGGATCACTTTCTAGGTATAGGATCATGACCCCAATTGCTATTCCGCTTATTTATGTCTCCACATATTAACTGTTTATAGGTTTCTTTTGCTGTGGTTTTTGGACAGTCATTCTTGCTGAATTTCTTTAAATAAACTTACTACCTAGAATAGTAATTATGGTCATCTTATTCTGTGAATTTTGCTGTTTCTTCTCACTGCCTGTTATTTTTTAGCTTGGTCTATTCCAAAGGTCTCAAGGGCACCCAAATAAGTCTGAGTCTTCCCCACACAGACTGAAGGAATGCTAGCTCCATAGACCTTTATATGTTAACTTCTGGGAGTTGGTATAGACAGTATTAGCCTTTGAGAGAAAATTACTGTCTTTAGATAATTTACCACAGTAAGGGTAATTCTTAGAAAGAATTTATGGGAAACAATTTAGAATTAGTCTTGTAAATATTGTCAGTTGCATGTATTGTTATTGGACTTGCTTAAAGTTCCTAAATATTAAAACAATAAACAGATGATTCAGTTTCAGGTTTTACATGTAAAAGCCATCACTGAGCTTTTACATTCACAGATAATTGCTCATATAAATATAATTGTAAAATATTATATCATTACTTGGCTGTAGCTATAGAGTAATATAAAAATTACTTTGATTTGATAAAGGAAATAATGAAATTTATTTGAAGTATTGGAGCAAAGTGAGTATTTACTAAGTAACTGGTTAATTTTATCATTTTAGATAAGTAAAGATCAAACTCTTTTACAAGAAGAGCCTCCAGACCCTGACAAAACAGTCACTTTAAGTCTTGCACAAGTAGTAAGGCTTGCACAAAGATTTGAAGAACTGAAGAATCGCCTTAAACAGAGGTCTAAAAACCCCTTGAAAGTCATGTTGTCTAAAACCATGTAAGTGAAATATAAGAACTAATTGAATTAAAAACAATAAGAAGGGGTATATAATTAGCACTGAATGTAAGATAATGAGTCATATATGATGGCTACACATAAAGCTTCTTAGTCAAATCAGGTCTAGTCAGCTTGTTTCTATTTGCAATTTTTAATAATCTGAGATATACAATACAGGAGACATTATCTGCATGTGGCTACGCAAATTCAATGTAGAAAATCAGTTTCTTAGTCACACTAGCCACATTTAAAGTGCTTTGTACCCACATTTGGCTGTTATTAGAAAGTTATATTAGACATTGCTAGCTTTGAAATATCTGGCTTATAAACTCTTCTTTCAGTTTGATTAGGTAATTGCTAGTAATAAGTAGAAAACTGAGATCTAATGAAATATTTCATTGTTCATGAACACTTTTGTTAAAATTATATTAACAGCTCATCCAAGTAAAATTTTTACATTTATAAGCAACCATATTTTTGCATTAAACATACACAAAATTCTTTTATAGTGTTGAAATAGGAAACATGTACCCATATTTGGGAGGGGCCCCTAGTTATGCGGTTACTTTAGTGATATATTACTAAATAACTTAAAATAATGAAGAGAATGGTACCTGAGTTGGCTCCTGGGGGTTATATATCTAGATTCTTGGTTCAGAGGTTAAGGTTTAAACCATATTAATACTTTACATTAAGTATCTGCTGTGTACTAGGGATTTTTGTAGTAACTTTACATGTATAATCTTCTTTGATTGCCATAACTGCTTCACGAGAAAGGTACTATTATACCTCAATTTTAATAAGAATAAACTGAAACCCATAGAGGTTAAGTAATGTACCTGGCTGAGGTTATATAATTAGTAAGTGGATGAAGCAGGTTTTGGGTCTGCTAGTCTCGCTTCAGAACTTATGTCCTTCATCATTATATGATTGACAATAATACAGTGACAAAAAGCAATTTATGTTTCTAACAGTTTTTGCTACTTTTGTTGTTAATGTTGTTGGTATACCTAATTATATTCATGGAATACATAGAAGTAATAATTACATAGTTTAGTTTGACTTTTATACTTTTTAACTTATAACTTGTTAATTTACCTTAATGTCTATAAATAAAGATTAAAGATATGTTTAATTTTTACTTTACAAACTTCATATGTCTAGACTGCATATTTTAGTTCTTTAGTATAATTTAAACTCTTACTCTTTGATACATTAAAAATGTTTTGTTTATTGAACTTTAACAGGAATAAAGAAAATCTACCAGAAGCAGTGAAAAGTTGTGAAGATGTAGCACAGAAAATGGAAGGTGATAATATTTGATACATGTTTGTCCTTAAACATTTTATTTAAAAAATTGTTATTATTTTTTATTTTTTAAAGAGAGGTTCTCACTCTGTCACCTGTGCTGGAGTGTAGTGGCATGACTATCACTCACTGCAACCTCAATCTCTTATTTAATAGTGAGTTTTATACTTTAATAAAAGTTCTATTATGTTCCAGATTCTGGGAACATACAAAATGAATACAGTGTGTATCCCCTGTACAGACAACAACTTGGTTGTTACTTCCATAAAATTTACAGTTTAATAAGGATACAAATACATTATCTAGCATGTCAGTACAGTGTCATGCATGATAAAGATATGTAGAATTTGCACTGGGTCCACAGAAAGAAGCAACCTGTTCAAACTAAGGGAGTTAGAAAGGCTTTATGCAACTTTAAAGGGTGAATAGGATTTAGTCAAGTAAATAAGGGAAATATTTGGTATTTTAAGAAGACAATAGCATGAACAAACAACATACATATGGAATTACAACTGGATTGGTATCAGAGTAAGAAGCAGGATAAGGGATAAGGTAAAAGAGGGCCTAATCATGGTGGGAATGGATGCTCTGCTAAGGGGCTTAGACTTTTTTCAAATATAATAAGGAATAATTGAATATTTTTTGTAGAATTTAATTTTAGAGAGTTTTTTTTTTTTCTGGCCAAACTGTAGAAGCTAAATTTGGGGACTAGGAGTAAGAAAGGGAAGTTATTATATCTTAGATGGGTGATAAGCACCTATATTCAAGGACTAGTGAAGAGAAGAAGGGAGTCAGGTTTGAGAAATATTTACTTGATAGAACTGGCAAAAGTTGGTGATTGGATGTGGGAGGAAAGAAGGAAGACTAGATAATGATGGCACCATCAATGAATATAAGAGGCTTCAGGAGGAAAAACAAATTTTGATGAGAAAGTGATGTTTATAATCAGCTGTTACACATGTTCTTTTAAATATTATCATTTGTTGACTGATTGGAAAGATCTACAGTGTTGGCAGCTATTATTTTTTCATCGTTTTCTTTCTTTTGATGAGTTACTAAAATTAAAACTCAATTAGTGCATGTGATTACTGTTTGAAATTTATAGTAACAAATACACTTTTAATTATTTCAGAATTCTTAAAAGCCCACTCAACTGATGAATTTAAAGATGTTTCTGCAATGGAGCCACGTAAGTTTCCACTCATGAAAGCATTATTGTGGTAATAACCTCTGTTAGATTAATTTCTATAAAGTAATAATTATTAGGTTAACAATACATATTCCCTGCCTTGGAGCTGGGAGCCATACGCTTCATTTGGTTGTCAGGCAAGTATTGAAATTCCTGGTTAAGGATACATGTTACTGAAATTAGATTTTTTTTTTTTAAATTATGCTTTAAGTTCTGGGGTACATGTGCAGATTGTGCAGAATTGTTACATAGGTATGCACATGCCATGGTAGTTTGCTGCATCCATCCCTCTATCACCTACATTAGGTATTTTTCCTAATGTTATCTGTACCCAATCCCCTGACCCCCTGCTATCCTTCCTCTAATACCCCCAGCCCCCAAATGCCCTGGTGTGTGATGTTCCCCTCCCTGTGTCCATATGTTCTCATTGCTCAACACCTGCCTATGAGTGAGAACATGTGATGTTTGATTTTCTGTTCTTGTGTCAGTTTGCTGAGAATGATGGTTTCCAGATTCATCCATGTCCCTACAAAGGACACAAACTTATCAGTTTTTATGGCTGCATAGTATTCCTTGGTGTATATGTGCCACATTTTCCTTGTCTAGTCTATCGTCAGTGGACATTTGGGTTGGTTCCAGATCTTTGCTATTGTAAACAGTGCCTCTGTGAACATACATGTGCATGTGTCTTTATAGTAGAACGATTTATAATCCTTTGGGTATATACCCAGTAATGGAATTGCTGGGTGAAATGGAATTTCTATTTCCAGGTCCTTGAGGAATCACCACACTGTCTTCCACAATGGCTGAACTAGTTTACACTCCCACCAACAGTGTAAAAGTGTTCCTGTTTCTCCACATCCTCTCCAGCTTCTGTTGTCTCCACATTTTTTAATGATTGCTATTATAACTGGCAAGAAGTGGTATCACTGTGGTTTTGACTTGCACTTCTCTAATAATCAGTGATGATGAGCATTTTTTCATATGTTTGTTGGCTTCATATATGTCTTCTTTTGAAAAGTGTCTGTTCATCTCCTTCAACCACTTTTGAATGGGTTTTTTTTTTTTCCTGTAAATTTGTTTTAGTTCTTTATAGATCCTGGACATTAGCCCTTTGTCAGATGGATAGATTGCAAAATTTTTTTCCCATTCTGTTGGTTGCCAGTTCACTCTAATGATTGTTTCTTTGGCTGTACAGAAGCTCTGGATTTTAATTAGGTCCCATTTGTCTATTTTGGCTTTTGTTGTCAATGCTTTTGGTGTTTTAGTCATGAAGTCCTTGCCTACACCTATGTCCTGAATGGTTTTCCCTAGGTTTTATTCTAGGGTTTTTATGGTGTTAGGTGTTATGTTTAAGTCTTTAATCCATCTGGAGTTAATTTTAGTGTAAGGTGTCAGGAAGGGGTCCAGTTTCTGCTTTCTGCACACTGCTAGCCAGGTTTTCCAACACCATTTATTAAACAGGGAATCCTTTTCCCATTGCTTGTTTTTGTCAGGTTTGTAAAAGATCAGATGGTTGTAGATGTGTGGCATTGCCTCCAAGGCCTCTGTTCTGTTCCATTGGTCTATATCTCTTGTTTTGGTACCGGTACCATGCTGTTTTGATTACTGTAGCCTTGTAGTATAGTTTGAAATCAGGCAGCGTGATGCCTCTGGCTTTGTTTTTTTTGTTAGGATTGTCTTGGCTATGCAGGCTCTCTTTTGGTTACATATGAAGTTTAAGGTGGTTTTTTCCAGTTCTGTGAAGAAGGGCATTGGTAGCTTGATGGAGATTGCGTTTAACCTATAAATTACTTTGGGCAGTACGGCCATTTTCACGATATTGATTCTTCCTAACCATGAGCATGGAAGGTTTCTCCATCTGTTTGTGTCCTCTCTTATTTCCTTGAGCAGTGGTTTGTAGTTCTCCTTGAAGAGGTCCTTTACATCATTTATTAGTTTTATTCCTAGATATTTTATTCTCTTTGTAGCAATTGTGAATGGCAGTTCACTCATGATTTGGCTCTGTGTTAGTCTGTTATTTGTGTATAGAAATGCTTGTAATTTCTGCACGTTGATTTTGTATCCTGAGACTTTGCTGAAGTTCTTTATCAGTTTAAGGAGATTTTGGGCTGAGATGATAGGGTCTTCTAAATATGTCATCTGCAAATAGAGAAAATTTGACTTCCTTTTTTCCCAATTGAATGCCTTTTATTTTATTTTTCTTGCCTAATTGCTCTGGCTAGAACTTCCAATACTATATTGAATAGGAGTGGTGAGAGAGGGCATCCTTGTCTAGTGCCAGATTTCAAAGGGAATGCTTCCAGTTTTTGCCCATTCGGTATGATATTGGCTGTAGGTTTGTCGTAAATAGCTTTTATTTTGAGATATGTTCCATCGGTAGTTAGTTTATTGAGAGTTTTTAGCATAAAGCGCTGTTGAATTTTGTCGACGGCCTTCTCTGCATCTATTGAGATAATCATGGATTTTGTCTTTGGATCTGTTTTTGTGGTGGATTATGTTTGTAGACTTGCATATGTTGAACCAGCCTTGCATCCCCTACTTGATCGTGATGGATAAGCTTTTTGATGTGCTGTTGCAATTGTTTTGCCAGTATTTTATTGAAGATTTTTACATTGATATTAATCATGGATATTGGCCTGAAGTTTTCTTTTTTTGTTGAGTCTCTGCCAGGTTTTGGTATCAGGATGATGTTGATCTCATAAAATGATTTGGGAAGGATTCCCTCTTTTGGGTTGTTTGGAATAGTTTCAGAAGGAAACTATTTCAGAAGCTCCTCTTTGTATGTCTGGTAGAATTCAGATGTGAATCCATCTGGACCTGGGCTTTTTTTGATTGGTAGGCTGTTAATTGCTGCCTCAGCTTCAGCCCTTGTTATTGGTCTGTTCAATGTTTCAACTTCTTCCTGGTTTAGGCTTGTGAGGGTGCAAGTGTCCAGGACTTTATCCATTTCTTCCAGGTTTACTAGTTTACATGCATACTGTTGTTTGTAGTAATCTCTGATTGTAGTTTGTATTTCTGTGGAATCGGTGGTGATATCTCCTTTTTTGTTTTTTCTTGCATCTATTTGATTCTTCTCTCTTTCCTTTTTTATTAATCTGGCTAGCAGTCTCTCTATTTTGTTGATCTTTTTAAAAAACCAGCTCCTGCATTTATTCATTTTTTGAAGGATTTTTTTTATGTCTCTATCTCCTTTGTTTCTGCTCTGATCTTAGTTATTTCTTGTCTTCTGTTAGCTTTTGAGTTTTTTAAATTTTGTTCCTCTAGCTCTTTCAATTTTGTGTTGATTTTAGATCTTTCCTCACTTCTCCGGTGGGCATTTATTGCTATAAATTTCCCTTTAGACACTGCTTTAAATGTGTCCCAGAGATTCTGGTACATTGTATCTTTGTTCTCATTGCTTTCAAAGAAGATCTTTATTTCTGCCTTCATTTCATTGTTTATCCAGTCGACATTCAGGAGCAGGTTGTTCAATTTCCATGAAGTTCTGAGTTAGTTTCTCAATTCTGAGTTCTAATTTGATTGCCCTGTGGTCTGAGAGACTGTCTGTTATGATTTCCATTCTTTTGCATTTGCTGAGGAGTTATTTACTACCAATTATGTGGTCAATTTTAGAGTAGGTGCAATTCGGTGCTGAGAAGAATGTATATTCTGTGGATTTGGTGTGGAGACTTCTGTAGACGTCTATTAGGTCTGGCTGGTCCAATTCTGAGTTCAAGTCTTGGATATCCTTGTTAATTTTTTGTTGTGTTGATCTGTCTAATATTGACAGTGGAGTGTTAAAGTCTCCCACTATTATTGTGTGGGAGTCTCAAGTCTCTTGGTAGGTCATTAAGAACTTGCTTTATGTATCTGGGTGCTCCTGTGTTGGGTGTGTATGTATTTAGGATTGTTATCTCTTCTTGATACATCAATCCTTTATCCATTATGTAATGCCCTTCTTTGTCTCTTTTGATCTTTGTTGTTTTAATGTCCATTTTATCAGAGATAAGGATTGCAACTCCTGCTTTGTTTTTGCTTTCCATTTGCTTGATAAATCTTCCTTTGTCCCTTTATTTTTTAGCCTATGTGTGTACTTGCTTGTGAGATGGGTTTCCTGACTATAGGACACCCATGGGTCTTGGCTTTTTATCCTATTTGCCAGTTTGTGTCTTTTGATTGGGGCATTTAGCCCATTTACATTTAAGGTTAATATTGTTATGTGTGAATTTGATCCTGCCATTTTGATGCTAGCTGGTTGTTTTGCCCATTAGTTGACGCATTTTCTTTATTATGTTGATGGTCTTTACCATTTGGTATGTTTTTGGAGTGGCTGGTACTGGTTGTTCCTTTGTTTAGTGCTTCTTTCAGGAGCTCTTATAATGCAGGCCTGGTGGTGACGAAATCTCTCAGCAATTGCTTGTCTGCAAAGGATTTTATTTCTCCTTCACTTAGAAAGCTTAGTTTGGCTGGATATGAAATTCTAGGTTGAAAGTTATTTTCTTTAAGGATGTTGAATATTGACCCCCCGCTCTCTTCTGGCTTGTAGGGTACCTGTGGAGAGATCCACTGTGAGTCTGATGCGTTTCCCTTTGTGAGTAACCTGACCTTTGTCTCTGGTTGCCCTTAGCATTTTTTCCTTCATTTCAACCCTGGTGAATCTGATGATTATGTGCCTTTGGATTTACCTTCTCGAGGAATATCTTTGTGGTGTTCTCTGTATTTCCTGGACTTGTATGGTGGCATGCCTTGCTAGGTTGGTGTTTTCCAGCTTGGATTCATTCTCTCCATCACATTCAGGTACATCTATCAAACACAGATTAGGTCTTTTCACATAATCACATATTTCTTGGAGGCTTTGTTAATTTCTTTTCACTCTTTTTTCTGTAATCTTGCCTTCTCATTTTATTTCATTGAGTTGATCTTCAGTCTCTGATATCCTTTCTCTGCTTGGTCAATTTGGCTATTGAAACTTGTGTATGCTTTGTAAAGTTCTCGTGCTGTTTTTTTCAGCTCCATCA